TAGTAGAGGATAAGGACATCATGATTAGAATAGTAATGAGGATAAAGGAAGTGATTTGAGCAGTGAAGCAAATTAGAGATTTATTGATACCAATGTAATAGTAATTGGTAAATAGAACTAGATGGGAATGATCACTGGAACAATGGACTTAATGGGGAATAGTAACTGGAGTGTGAAGGAACATGACAGAATATACCTAAAAGTTCTAGAAATCAAAATGAATCTATGCAATCACTAGTCAACTTCAAATAGAAAGCCAAATGTATTATTTTCAGTAGTTGGATTCTAGCTAGCTATCACAACAGGAACATTGTGCTTAGTGTTTGTGTTTGAAGTTAGTCTGCAAATCTAGGATTCCCTGGAATTTTAGTGCCGCCATGTCTTATTCAACTATAATAAATCATTTCATTTTAACCTTGACAATACAGGCTGGTTAAGTAGTAGACTTTTACATGGCGAAAACATTCAGTTCAACCAAATGGATTCTTCTGAAAAAATATTTGTTTCTGGGAATCAGATTTCCTCCATGTTGCGTTTCGGTTTAGATTAATTTTGTCTATGGAAGAACCAAAACAGTGTGAAAATACAGCTATTAGGGTACTGCAAAATATACATAATATAAACATTATGTATACACTGATGGGTCACAACATTAAAACCACTGACAGGTAATGTGAATAATATTGATTATATCATTGCAATGGCATTTGTCAAGGGGTGGGATATATTAGGCAACACATGAACAGTCAGTTCTTGAATTTCATCTGTTGGAAGCAGGAAAAATGGGGAAGCAAGAAGATCTGAGTGACTCTGATAAATAATGATGGCTAGAAGACTGGGTCAGCGAATCTCAAAAACAGCAAGTCTTGTGGGGTGTTCCTGTTATGCACTATTTAGTACTTACCAAAAGTGGAGCTAGTAAGGACAACTGGTGAACTGGCATCAGGGTCATGGGCGACCGAGGCGCATTGATGCATTTGGGGAGCGAGGGCTATCCCATCTAGTCCTATCACACAGAAGAGCTACTGTAGATCATATTGCTGAAAAACTTAATGTTTAAGCATTAGGTCTGGACCATGGACCAATGAAAGAAGGTTGCCTGGTGTGATGAATCACGTGTTCTTTTAGATCAGGCGGATGGCTGGGTATGTCTGGCATTCTTGTGAATGATACTTTGGCACGTACCACCTACCTAGAGATTGTTGCGGATCATTTACACTTCTTCATGGCATTGGTGTTCCCTATTGGCAGTGGCTTTTGTCATCAGGAAAATGAACCCTGTCACAGTACAAAAATTGTTCAGGAAAGGTTTGAGCAACATGACAAAGAGTTCAAGGTGTTGCCTAGGCCACCAAATCCCCAGGTCTCAATCTGAGCATCTGTTGGATATGCTGGAACAACAACTCCAATCTATGGAGGCCCCACTTGCAACTTGCAGGACTTAAAGGACGTGCTGCTAATGACTTGGTGCCAGATACCACAGGACACGTCTAGAGGTCTTGTGGAGTCCATGCCTCAACATATCAGAACTGCTTTGGCAGCACAAGTGGGATCTACATGATATTAGGTTTTAATGTTGTTGTCAGGATTGGGTGGAAACAAAACACACAGACCAAATCACAACAAATAAACTTTCCATATAACGGTCTTTAGAATGGCTGGTGTAACGGAAAAACAAAGGGATACAGAATACAGGTTAAACGATATACAAGCTGAGGTCAAAGGATTACAGAAGACAGAAATAACGATAAACTAGAACCAGCATAATTAGAAGAGAAGAGTACTGCAGTAACGCGCTATTGGGCTAACAAGAACCACAAAAGGGTGACAAGGAATGTAAGAGGTAAGTATATATATAAACAGGTCTGAACTCCCATTGGTCCACGTCAGCTTGGAATTTTAATTCATGGACGGTAATTGACCGTTCCAGTTTGACGTATTACATCATATTTGTGTGCCGAACTCTGCCCAAATTCAGTCGAACATAAAGGCACGCTGTGTGCAAGTGTGCAGTGGGACGGAACACTGGAGGGAGGAGGTAAGTGGGCAGCAGACCTGACAGTCATGGCTGACAAGTGTGTATTTTGCAGTAGACTGATTTGGTTAAAAAGTAACCAATAGAGGGAATAAAAGAAGCAATTCCAAAGAAAAAAAAATCTATACATTATATATTTAATTAAATAAAACATTATTATATATTGCTCCTCCTTTTCCCCCGCTCTATTGGTCACTTCTCACTTGATCTGTAAATAAATTAACATTTAGTTGCTGTCCCCCAACCATCTATTTTTTTAGCACCATAGACTGATCTTCAAATGGCTCGTTCTATACCTGTTTTAGCTTTTCAGACTCATTGTCAATCACCCAGAATTTGGAGAAATCACAATTTGTTTGAAAGTGAATGCACAATTCTAAACCATGGCACCCAAGATAAATGTGTTAATAAAACTGTTTTGAAGCAGTTCAGCACTGCATATCTAGATACTTTTCAATGCTCAGTTGATAAATGTAAAGTTTATTTTAGGTGACAAGTCCACTTTAACATAATAAATTATTCTAGACATTTGGCAAGCTTATCATTGTAGCAATGGTTGTCAGGCAGTTACAAAAGGCAAGGGGATCAGGGCACAATTAACACTTTCTATGCTAAAACATCAGTCTTAACACTCACATAGGGTTAGGCACTTAACAGTGAATTTTTGGAAACCGGCAAGGCCGAGTGCATTTCCCATTATGGGTCAGAAAAGCCGAGCTGGACGTTTAGTTGAGTTAAAGTTTTATCCAGTACATGAGTTTTACCCTAAAATTAGTCATTCCTGACAATCTAGGAAGGGAAACGAACAGAAATCTCAAAAGATGCTATAGGTTTACAACTTCTTAGACTCTCCACGGATAGATCTATTACGTAACGTAGTACACAATAACATCTTATGGTTGCCATGTATCCCTAAATGACAGACCCATCATATCGTTTCCCTACCCTGGTAATGTCAACAAAAGCTGCTGCGATTGGTACGTAGCAACTCAACGATGTGAACCGGACCTTGTTGGTTTGTGACATTGCACTCATAATCTGAGCTGAGCTGTCTCCTCAATAAATTCTATAGGAATTAAGATATGGAATTTTTAAATCTGATGAATACATCTCCCTAAATACAGCTGTATGATGATTAACCTGCCTAAATATAGTTTTTTGTTTTTTTTCAGATAAAATTTGTATCTTGTAATACCTTTTTTATTAGACTAACAGAATTTTTTAATGACAAGCTTTCGGGAGAACCCTCTTTAATCAAGTCTAAAGCATTTCTGAGCAAGACGACACATAGAATTCATAGTTGCGTTGTGATACAAGGGTTAAAGCGACATGAGTGAGGATAAGACACAGGTTTGATGGAAAATAGACACCATTCTTACAGAGAGTCGTAAAAATCTTGTGTGAAGATCACAGAGTGAGGGGGGAGAGAGAGAAAAAAACAGGCAAGCAGTGCAGAAGATTGGGCTAGAAGGGGAGAATAAAATAATTACTTATATTAAGAATGCATGAATTCCCATCCAAGAGTTACAGAATATGCATGAAGGCCTATATCCAGCATACACAGACACACACATATACACATACACAAGTAAAACATCTTAAGTAATTTGATTTATCGTCATAGGTAACAAAATATGCTTTATATATTTGATGTTTCATATTTGTTGTAAATGTGATCAATGTAAAATGTCACATATCGGCAAAGACAGACAGGTGTTTGTTCTGGCTGTTTTTGTGTCACTCCCTTCGAGGCCTGGCATGTACCGTTTATGTGTACATACACTTTTACATCACTTAGGCTGCATCAGTGTTTGTAAACGTTAAGATGACATATTAGTGTGTATAATATAAATATATTAAATAGGAATAGAAATAAATATTGATATAGTTTCAATTCTTTCAAAAAAAATACAAGCTGTCTACATTCAAAGCAGTGATCAATACATATACTACACAATTAGCCTGTAATTTCAGGTCAGGCTTTCAAACCCATTACGGGGGCCTCTATGCATTATTTCCTGTAATAACCAGTCTGATGTAGTACAGTCAGTGCAACACCAATGTCAACGTAAGGACATAAGTGTTCCTGTCTGCCCAAGATTATTATAAAGTTATTCTCTTTGTCAACAGCTGTAGCCACTATAGTTCAATCCTCTCCCTATAATAATATGACAAAAGGAGTTGGGGAGACAGAGGTAATGCAATTCAGAAGAAATATTGAGACTGGGTTATATCAAAATGAAGCCTAGCTTCGCCAATCTTGGGCACACCAGATGTCCGTGTTCCTGTGCAGCCCTAAGATCAAAGGAAACCTGACCACCATATTTCATGTAATATAATAAGAGATATAATAGTGAACCATGGTTAAGGAGAAAGGAGAACATGGGAATTAATTTTCTCACTCACATATGGAGAACAAACTATTGATTTATGAAGGCTAATTAAAATGCATATCAAAAAAGAAAACTTTGGGTTCGTCATGAATTATAGCAATAAAATAGCTGAGCCTCAAGACTACATCAACCCCTATTGCCAGTGTGTTCAATAGGCATTAGAATTTGGCCAGGTAATTATTATTGTATTATTTAATATTAAAACGGAATGTTGCAGAATGAATTTCATCCCAGAGGAACGCTATGACGGCAGAAAGGAATCTTATTAGTACAGGGTGTTTGGCAGGCTCAGGAAAAATGTGTTTACAGAATAACATTGCCAGCGATACTCCTGGGATATCATTGCTATAAAAGTAAAGGTTTATAAGCCAGCTATAGAGAAAGTGTTGTAAAAGTCTGCTTGTGTGCCACTTGTTAGGCCGAGTTGCTGAATCATTCCGCTTGCAGTAATATCTCCCTCTAGCGCAGGCCTTACTAACCACACACTGTTTTCAACCATAAGATGCTTGTTTGCTTTGAAGAAACCCCCTCTGGGTCTAAACTGCATTTTCTTAGGAGCAAAATGCAGAACGGAGTATGGCAGCATCTAACACAATACAATAAGGCTGCTGTTCCCTGAAAGACAATGATGGATTTTTTACCCCCCTGGCTCTAATATACTGGGAAAGAAGACATTTCCATGGCAACACGTGTCTTAGCAACAGGAACAAGAAATCTCAGCAGAAATGGAAATCTGGACAAACAGAGAAAGATTTCTGAGACCAAACACTCCTTAAATAAATAAACCATTTACTACCCTAACAGAGGGGAAAATGTCAAGATATGATGCCATTTCTCTCCCATCCATTGCAGGCTCTTAACCTGTGATGTGTGTCCCCACTGGGGAGGTGTGATGTTCCTCATTAACATTTTCCTAATTGCTTTTTTTTTAGAATTTAGTTTAGATACAGTTTTGTCACCATATCCAGATTCAAAAGAAATGTCAGAGGCATCTGGATAATCAAAAATCATATAATCAAAGTGTTTGGTAAAATGTAGCCTGCTGCTGTGTGCTGTTGTATTTGGTAAAATGAAGACTAACTGTCCATTTAGTTTAATCTTGTACCAAACCCATGTGCCGGAAATGACTCACAACGCTTGCTTACAACAATCGCAAGAACAGTAGAAGAGCAGTCACACGATAACACCGCACTCTGTGACCGTTTATTGTTAGATTGAATGACTGCAACAATGGATTTTTCAAAGAATTCTTTATTTTTGTCTGACAGGTAGTATACAATATTTATTAACATTGCATTGGTTGGCTTTTGCAGAAGCCTGGTGTGCAAGCTTAGACGTTCTTTGTCAGTTTTTAAATTTTGTTGTTATAACATAACATAGCATACATAGGTAAATAACAAAAAATAAAAATCGTAACTAGATGTCTACATTATTGGGTACAAGCACGGTGGTTTACACAATGTATTTCTTCTGATTATGTTTTTCTTTTATTGATTGCATTCGTCGTGGACCTTACTGACTTAGCTTCTTGGGAGAGTGGTCAGTCATCTGCTGTAGCGGTGTATTTGCCTATTTGTTATTTGGTGCTATAGGTGATCGTTTGTTCCCTATTACCCTTCTTCAGTATGGGATTAGTCATCATATTGTTCCCATGGTGCCCACACTCGTTTAAAGGTAGTGATCGTGTTTCGGACCTGGGCTGTCATTTTGTCCATTAGATAGTTGTCTCTGATTTTGGACATAACCAGGGATATGGGTGGTGGCTCAGTTTTTATCCAATGTTGGGCTAGAGCTCTACAAGCCACTAAGTATAACATTTTTAGCAGTCGTTGTTCATGTTTGTCAAGTCCGTCTGTGGGTCGGCAGAGCAGACAGGCCCAGGGGTCGGGCGTGAGTTGTCTGTGTAATAGACGTGAACTTATGGTCGCTACCTCTCTCCAGAAGATAGCTACTTTTGGGCAGTGCCACCACATGTGTATGTATGTGCCTTTTTCTCCGCAAAATCGCCAGCAGGTGTCTGTAGGGCTGATTTGCATGTGGCATTGTTTGATTGGGGTTGTGTACCACCTGAATAGTGTTTTGTAAGCTTGTTCCTGTAGGGAGGTGCAAATAGATGCTTTCTTACATGCTTCCCAGATATTTTGCCAGTCTATCCCCTCTAATGTGTCCCCTAGGTCTGCCTCCCATCTGTCTGTATGTTATTGTTCCCCATGTTCCGGACTCTGTGCAGATGTGGGCATATACTAGTGAATGAGCTTTGTTGACATGGTTTCTTTGAAGCATATGTGTTTGAAAAATGTTAGTTTCTTGGTTTGCGTAGCTTTGACTGCGGCGGATTGTGCAAAGTCCCTAATCTTGATGTAGCGAAAAAAGTCCCTGGTTTGTAGTGGTGCTAGAGATTTTAAGTGGTCGTATGTCACTACCTATTTGTCAATGTATAGGTGTATGTATCGCTGTAGCCCTGTGGCTTCTATAGCTTTGAAATCTCTTGCCCTGAGTCCTGGTGGGAATGATCTGTTCCTAAATATTGGAGTCATGGGGCTTGGGGAGTTTATATTTCTGCGCTACCTGGTCCCATATGTTGATGGAGTTTAGGATGGCTGGGCATGTGGTCCTAATAATTGTCCTGTGTTCTTTGGGCACCCATATCAGGAATTGGGGTAGGTCAGTTCTAGTTAGTTGGGATTCTATGTCCACCCATCTACATTTACCTCTGGGGCAGTGCCAGTGTGCTATTTGGGCTATTTGTGCAGCTATGTAGTAGTTATGCAGGTGGGGTAGACCTAGTCCTCCCCTTGATTTGGGGTTATATAGTATGGCTCTGGCTATTCTAGGTATTTTCCTTTGCCATATGAAGGCGTCTGTTGTCTTCTGGATATCCGCTAGGTCCCCTTTGGTAACCCTGATTGGTAGCGCTTGGAAAAGGAACAGTAGTCTGGGCATGATGTTCATTTTCACTGAGTGAAGACGTCCTAGCCACATAATGGGTTTGTCCGTCCAGTTTTCTAAGTCGCTCTTTAGAGTGTGTAATAGAGGTGTGTAGTTGTGTTTATATAGTGCTGTGGGGTCAGCTGTGAGTTTTATTCCTAAATAGGTGAGTGATTCATGGTTTATTCTAATTTGGTGTTCGTGTCTGATATATGCTGTTTCTTGTTCCGTCAAGTGGAATGGTATGGCTGTTGATTTGGTGAGGTTGACCTTGTATCCGGAGACCTCTCCATATTGTTTTAGAAGTATGTCCAGTCGGGTCATGGATCTGATCGGGTTTGTCAATGTGAGTAGTACGTCAACAGCATAAGCCACTACTTTGAGTTGAGTGATTCCTATCTGTATACCCTGTATTAGCGGGTCTGTTAGAATGGATTGTAGTAAGGGTTCTAGGACTATCGCGAACAATAGCGGGGATAAGGGGCACCCCTGTCGCGTCCCATTTCTCACTGGAAATGGGGTCCTGTAGGCTCCATGTATGATCGTTTGTGCCTGGAGGTCTGTATATAGGGCCTAAATTGCGACTATGAATGTGTCTGGAAAGCCTTGTGATTCTAGTAGTTGGAAGAGGAAGGGCCATTGGACTCGGTCAAAGGCCTTTTCGGCATCTAGGGAGAGTACGAGAGAGGGGGCATCGGAATTGGACATGTACCAGACCAGGTCGGCCCCCCTGTGGGTGTTTTCATATAGCTGTCGTCCTGGCATAAAGCCTACTTGTTCCAGATGTATTAGTTTGGGTAGTAGGGGTGTTAGTCTCATTGATAACATTTTTACGAATATTTTTAAGTCCGAGTTGATTAGTGAGATTGGTCTGTAATTTGTAGCTAAGGTGGAATCTTTATTAGGTTTTGGCAGGAGTACTATGTTAGCTGTAGCCATGTCTCGATCTGGTGTTTCAAAGACTTTTTAATCTTAATTATTGCTAGTTTAGTTAACAGAGTGCTTGACAAATTTGCTTGGAATCTAGGAGTCAGCTGAAAAGTTAGGAGCCAGGGGTGATGGGAGTGATGGGAGTGAGCGCAGGACTTTTCTTTTTGTATTTGTATTCACTTTTTGTATCACACAGCTAGGTTACAATGCTGCTGCCTATACCATGTGTTCCCTAATAAGGGTTAATAAGCATATAGGGGTGTATATAAAAATACCACTCTCTGACTCAGTGGAGATATCTTTGCCAGAAGCTCAAGGAAGCAAGGTGAAAGGTCAGAGTAGGACCTGCTTCGGGGGGTCTGCCTTGACGTTGGCAGGTGTGCATTCCCTCCAATGGCCATTGGAGTAACTAAATGACCTCCATTTGTTTAAATATACATAGGGATTAAAGAGAGAGCACAGGTAACTTTTTTCTTTGGTTTTTACTGTATGTAAGGTGGCTGATGTGTACTGTGGTCGTTGCTGCCGCCCAGGAGTGACGGGAGTGAGCGCAGGACTTTTCTTTTTGTGTTTGATTTTACTAAAAGAAACACATCTTAAAGATGTTCTGGGTCCCCAAGTAACCATCACAGCACGCAGAGGTAAGAATCTCTGTGACATCTTAGTCTCCAGCCACTTTACGATTAAACAGAATCCATCAACTACATGGCTGGGACGGAACACTCCTATAGGATCATATGGATGTGGCAGGTGTGTGCCTGGAAATACATCCTCAGAGATTTTACTTGAGTTCATTAGGGGGTTAGGCTGCCTCGAAGCAGCAGTGAGGGACTCCTGATATGCCTTCTGGCTAGATAGATAGACTAGGACTCCATATGCTATCTCCTTCGAGGAAGACAGCCTAACCAGAGATGCTGATGATGTAACCAAGCTACTTTGTAGCAATACATATCGGGGGGAGCATACATTCCCAAGCCTGCTTCACTAGCCCTCCTATGCTTACTACTGGGGGGCTATTTGTTTTGAGCAGATTTAGACTTTGTGTGTCTGCTGTCCTATCACTATAGCCTTCCTACATCCGAGTTTGGGAGGGTATTAAGATCCTTTGTGAGCAGACTCCAATATGTAGGGATGTCTATGATGTTATGGTTGTCCATTTAGTCTCCCTTTATCTACTACTGGGAGATTAACCACTGTGAACACACTTGGACATTAACACTTATTTGCTACTCCAGTCTGCCACTTCATACCTTCCTATATTCAACATTGGGAGACCTATATGGGCAATAACCCCCTAGATGTTACCTTGGGCAGATCCTGTGCTTTATGTGACTATGAATTTCATTGTAATAAAGTCCTGGCTTGCACTGCCAACGCCATCACAGCTATCCCCTTTATACTGCCTATGAGGTATCCGCTATCCTATTAATAAACTTAGGTTATTTTTTTACATACTTATGGACCTTTAACATATAACTGAAGTGTTCTGCGGATTCTGTATGAGCCAGACATAAATATATAATATACCATTAAACTGGTGGTCCCCATATTTTTATCTGATCCTTCTATAGATCATTACGATTTGCTACATTAGACCCTGTATACTATATTGCAGTATTTAGGACAGAACTACCTAAGCTTTTAAAGTTATATCACTGTGATCTCACTTTATCACCGTTTATACACGTTTTAGGTGTGTAGTGACTTTGCAGTTTATTATTTATTTTTTTCTATTTTTCTCGGCTTAATAAAGGTTTATACCATGTACATGTAATTTTACTTTAGGAGGTATTTTTGAATGTGCGTGGGTTCCACCCACTGTGAGTGAGTGGTCTCCCACCTCATTCTTCTGCTATTTTAATATATTTGTCCTGGGCTTATACCCCTCAATACCCCCTGTAACCACCTTTGAGGTACTGGTGCTGGCTAGTCCATTACCATAACCTCTTCATCTCTTTCTACTTTAAAGCTTTAATTTCAACGACAAAAATACAATTCTTAAGAGGAACACTATGGTCACCAAAACTACTACAGCTACATTTTCTTTACTATTTCTGTGTATCTGATGATGTTAAAATAACATTTCCACATCGATTACGTAATTTATCAATCACCAATTGCTTGTAGAAATGAGGAGAGGTGTTTTTTAAGGGATTTTAACTGAAAAGGTTAAAAATCCCTGCTCTATACAGTATTGCAGGACTGTACATAGTATTGTATTAAATAAAACAATATCGCCAAACAGAATAACCATGTGTTAAGTGTCCTCCTGAGATAGCCCGATCTACAAAATAAAACCCCCGACTCCATTTGTTGCTTACTCGATCTTCACTGCGCATATTTAATCCCATTTTTGTTTTAGACTCAGGCAGCTCTGCTGGGAGATTTTCCTCCAAATCCTCTTTAGAAGAAGCCAGTGCTCACAATCTCCTTTTACACGCAGTCACTCTTGTTCCGTTCCTCCTTCTTACATTTTGAACAATATCACCAAATACAACCGTTCAGTTTCACCAACACAAACGATGAAACATCTGTACCACAATCCATATTATACAGAATGCACTAAACTTGTATCACCAGAGTAACAGATGGGATGTTCCACACCGTTACCACCAACAAAGTCCGTTGGAATGTACAATACGGAGTCCCCAGCTTTACTGTTCAGATTGATTTTTTTGAAAGAGTTGGTACAGACTTTCTTTTTTCCCCCCTCTTTGTGAAACTCCCTTCAGTCATGTTGTAAAGCAAGTTTTCTGATGTAATCTAAGTGTTGGTTTGCTTTGGTTATTGTTTTAGTGTAAAGCTGTAGAGAGTCTATACAGTGTAGTGAATGAGGCAATGAGAGCAATGGATTCATTTCTTTCAAGTAGCTCTCGAGAGGGAGGTTTTCTAATAGAGTGATAATGATTAAAATAATCCATGGGGGGGCAGGGCCTGACCTGCATGCTGACCAGCTGTGTTCAGAGAGTGCTCCTCGACAAATCTCTAATATATGGGATATAATTTCCTCCTATCTCCCTGTAAACGAGCAACACTAAGTCCCACCACAACTCTCATCAGGCTGATCCACCACAACGAAGCTGCAGGCGGAATTCCTGATTGTTTTATCGGCATATGCAGAGTGGCCTGGGAGGCCTAGCGGGAAGGAGAGGCGGCCGATCTCCGGGCCTGAGGCGCCTTCTAACCCACCCTCAACTCACTTGGTGCCCTGTTTCACCACCTCTGGACTGGTGGGGGTGATCCCGTTCCATACCTTTTGGGTCCTAGGGTTTCATCAGTCCGCCAGGCGTACCTCAGCAAACAAGCCTGCTCCACAGGTGTAACAAGATGGCGGATGCTACATGTCAGCCCTGCACTGACACCATCTCCAAGCTTGAAAGGCTCTTTGAAGAGTTCTGAAGCAAGATAAGCAGGCGTCATCAACACCATGAGTCACAGAAGCTACAAGCCTGATCACTTCGGAACCTAACGCTGCACTTGAGGTGCAGGAAAGCAGCCCCAGGCACAAGGTGACCATAAGTAAGGCGAAAACGCCCGGGCCACTGGAAAATTAGGAAGACTGGGCACAACTTACCAGCAGGCCGACCTTGGAGTTATCATCACCTGGGACAACCCAGAGAAGCTAACTTGCCAGAGGGATTGCAGATGCCACAGCTAGGCCCATCTTCATGCTCCAGCTTGCTGTTCCTGCGCCCTTCACCTGGGCCCTTGTGCCACACTCGAATCACTCAGCTGCAGGGCTTTGCTATACGCCTGGTTGGTGTTGGTTAGTCTAAGCTGACGGACAGAAGTAGAAAGTGTTCTGGGCCCTTCATTACACCTTCTAACCATCGCATTTAGACTCTGACTTATTAAGCTACCTCCAGTCTAGCACTTACTTGATTCTCTCCCCAGGCAACTAGCATGGGGTCCCCTTAGGTATTACTCACCCTGTCACCTCGCAGATTGCTATATGCTTGTTCTCTTTAATATTTTGTGATATCTGCCTATTTACATGTCTAGCTCTTATTTCTTTGCAAATCTATACTTAAAGCAAAAATTTAGATGTGTATACCTAGCATGTTCATATAGTATGTTTCTCAGCTTCTCATTATAACACTTTAAAAATGTGTATGTACTTACTAAATGCCCTACCACATATAAGCTATTTACTTCGACTTCCTTGTAAACTGCTGTTGGGGCAGGACAAGACTGTATGTATTATTTTGCACAGCAAAAAAATAAAATAAAAAATAATCCATTATTTGGTACAGCTGAATTACTGTGTGAGAATTTATTTATTACTATCGTCATGGACTAAGGTTTAAAGAAGAATGAGACCTCATATTCTAGTCTAAGTGTCAGTTGTAAAAGAATGCACCAAATAATAATGTTATTTGGGAAAGAAAGTGGATTGGAGGCTTAACCTGTTCCACCTCCTGAGGAGATAATGGCTTGGGACCAGCTCTAGAAGTGGAAATAACTGCTCGAAAGTGGGCAGATTCAGCTATGAAATGGACAGAAGGCAAATTTCACTCCCGCATCAATGGACCACAGGGTCCATACAATGCGTCTGTAAGAGAAGCAACTCTAATAACTGAACCATTTGTTGTATCTAGCAAGATATTTCTAAAAATTGTGAATAGTTTGTCTTCTGTCCCCCTAACAGGTTAATTTCCATGTTTTTTGGGAAAAAGCTGTTAAGTGTAATGGTTGACACTGGTGACATCTACACCCACTGACACTAACCACTACATAGCATCTACTGTCTTGTAAAGTAAATCAAGAAAGGCTTGTTTTGTAATATCTTACTATAGCAACTCTACCAGAACACTATAAAAGTGATGGAACACTGTGAATGGCTATCCCTGGATAACCCTCCTTATACTGCAGTGGCTGTAGGGAAGGAAGCTTCAGGGTTAAACAGTTGGTTTAACTCGTAAATGCAAGATGGCACTCAGAAACTCCTTCCCTGCATAACAACTTCAATGGGCTGATGTTTTTCTGGGGTGGAAGGTTCCTTTGAATGCACTAAAATAGTGAATGCCTCCTTTTTTCAGGATATAGAATATATTGAGGGCTTGCAGTCAATAACTTACCATTCCAAGTTTTCATACCAAGCTGAAACAGGTTTAAAGATTAGTACGCCAACACCTGCCTATGACATGATGGCAATTCTCCGCATCTGGCATGGAAACATGGTGTTATTTTAGAGTTATTCACTAAAGAGAGCAATGGGGGAAATCCAAAGTGAAGTTTAAAGTTTAAGGCCAATCTAGTGAACATGAAACAGAACTGACTTGGACAGATTTCAATTTTGGCTACATTGACCTAAACTTTGAAATTTACTTTGAATCTCACTTTAGTGAATTGACCCGTTAGTGTTTCTCCTGATAATCTCTTTGGAAGACACTCATATTTTCAGGTGACACTTATTACCTGTCGAGAAACTTTGCTCAATGGAAATAGATATGTTACCATTTTAGCAATTGTTGACTTGTGACAAGCATTGAAATGGCTCTATACTAGTATATTAATAGAAGAGCTGTATGAATAAGAAATGGGCTTAACTACAACTGGGTAATTAAATTATATAGTTATACAGTTACATAGGCTGAAAATAGACATGTGCCCATCAAGTTCAGCCTTTCTGACATCTGTTTTTGCTGTTGAAAAATCCTTATTGACCCCAGAAAGGCATTCAGATCTCTCCTCGGATCAAGAAGCTATTATCTCATAAATGAAAAAGTATGGCCGTGAATGTTATATTATGAATGTTATATTTTTGCCAGTATTAATCCAGTTGCTGTTTAAATATGTGTGTAGACTCTGATGAAACCACCTCTTCAGGCAGAGAATTCCACATCCCTTTTTTTATAAAAAAAAACCCTTTCCTTTGCCTTAGATTATAATCTCCTTTCTTCCAGTCTAAATGTGTGATATTGTGCCCTATGTGTAGTGCTGCTTATGAATAGATTTTCAGACAATGCTTTGTATTGGCCCAGAATATACATGACCCCAAAACTGCACAGCATATTCAAGGTGTGGTCTTACCATTGTAAAGAGGCAAAATTGTATAGTCATCCAGAGAATCAATGCCACTTTTTATACATGACAATACTGTACTGGCCTGCTGATTGACATTGCAACTTGTTGTCTATAACAATTCCAAAATCCTTCTTGTGTTTTGTTGTTATCCCTAATTCACTACCATTTAGGATGTAAGTTGCTTGTGCATTCTTTATCCAAAAGTGCACAGCTTTGCACTTAACTATATTGAATTTCATATGCCAATTGACTGCCCAGTCCCCTGAATCTATCTAAATCCCTCTGCAGTGATGTAAAATCCTCACATTGTATTACTTTACAGAGTTTTGTGTCATCTGCAAATACTGGAACATGGCTTTCAGTGCTCATTTCAAGATAATTAATAAACATGTTAATTCAAAGCGGTCCCAGACCAGAATCCTGGAGAACACAACACTTGCCCAGCGAGAAAATGTACCATTGACAACAACTCTCTGCACTCTATCTTTAAGCCAATGTTCTACCCAAGAACACAAGTTTTCATCTAGGCCAGTTTCTTTTAGTTTAAACACTAACCTATTGTGTGGAACTGTATCAAATGCCTTGGCAAAATTAGATCAGTTTCACACTTCTACTTATTTCTTCGTAGAATGCATTTAAGTTACATAGTAAGTTAGTTTGACATGACCTATATTTCATAAAACCAAGCTGATTTGTGCTAATAATTTTGTTCCCAATAAATTCCTGAATAATATTTCTTAATAACTCTTGAAATACTTTCTCAGTAAAGCTCACAGGTCTATAATTCCCAGGCAAAGAATTTTAGTCAAGTGGTTTGGTTTGCACCTGAAATTAGGTGCAATGGGGTCCAGGAGTCAGTTCACTTAAAAAGGCTTCTATATATCCTGATAGTTTAGGAAAAACACAGCACTTGCATATATGTGGTGTATGGCTTTAAAGCTGCTAAAGGCAGAGTCAAACTTGCTACACACCAAAATAATCTACTTTTAACTCAAAGATGGAAACTGTAAGGAAGATATAGGAAAACAGTATGAGGAACTGTTTCCTATTTGTAATAAAAAATTGTCACAGTTGTATATAATGTATGTATCTTTAAATCTGTGACTAATAGAGTGAGGCAAAATATATGCCAAATATCATACTTGGCAAAAATAATAATAAAAATAAAAACTTCGTATAATGAATATACAGTTGTGTTACTGTATTTTGTAAATTACCGTATCACTTAAAATGATAATAAAAATATTTGAATCAATGAGTAAATAGAATGAATACAAATTTTATTGGGCAAATTAAAAAGTACTAAAAATATATATTCAAATATTAACAATAATTAAAAATATGAGTCAGGAACGTATTGCAAGAATATTACCAGCACTTAGGCAGTCCTTGTATCAGATAAACCGCAGGGATGGATGTGGATACAGTGTTGCATAAACTGTAATCTCTGGCTGTCGGCTGTGAGGTTGGCGTGCGTCCCACGCTTGTTGGCCAATCGGTCCCCAGATCTTTGGATATCACACTCTCGGTAAGAAGAGGTTGCTTGTTGCTGGCTTCAAAATTCTGCGTCCGTATCCTGCTCAGTCTGATATGGTCTAACGCGTTTCGTGGGTGTCAGCCCCACTTCATCAGAGACGGAATAAGGATTCAGTAGTCTGTGCTGGTTATAAATATACATCTGACTAATTGCAATTGACAGCATAAGGATCGTTCCTAAGAAAATTATGTACTAAATATTTAACCCTTAGTGTGTTAATAAAAATAAAAATAAAATAAAAATACACATACATAAGTACATTGGAATGAATACATTCATGAATACAGTAATAAATATCAATAATAAAAATGTAAGTTGCAAGAATGATCACATGTAGAAATAATTAAAAGATATTTAAAACACACATGGTATCAGTAAATGGAATATGAAAACTTGCTATAAAAACACACATAAAAGCAGTATGTATTGTATGTATACACATGGGTACATGGAGATAGAGAATAGTAATCACATAAAAGATAGTGATAAAAGACAAGATATAAAATATATATAAAAAAGAAAATACAAGTATACCTAATCGTTAAAGAGCTAAAAGGACTACAAAATGAATGAGAGAGATGGTGAGAGATAGAACAGAATGATTGTAATAGTTACTATCTGTAAAATATAATTATATTGCATATTTAAATTATGGGAGATAAGAAACTTCCAGTAAAAATATTTTATATATTTGTAACACTTATCTAGCGTTTAGATTAACTGAACTGCGGACATATGACTTGAGTATATATGATACATGAATAGTTGCATCTAGGAAAAGGAGAACTCGAAAATCTATAAAAGCAAGTAAATATAGGAACAGACATCAATTGTCCCGAAGTGGTTCAAATAGGTAGTGAATACATACTTCAGTATAAGTAGTACCAAAATAGCTACATCGAGGAAAGGATTACATTCAGGCTGGAACTCGAACTTAAAGTTGTATTAAGATTCTATTTTAACAGATAGTAATTGTCTGTAATGGAATCACAGTTAGATGAAACAATAGAAAAGGACAATGAAATTAATATAAAGTAGTTATAGTGATAAGTTATATTAGAAAAACCAATAAATCAAAATGTGTAGAGGATAGCCAATCTTCACATCTTGGTGTAGGTTTTATAAAAACATCCTATTTTGCATCCCTTCAATTATTTGAAGACTTATTGGATGTGAACCTAAAAAGTGTTACCATGTACAAATTGATGTAGAAACATTATGCTACAAAGGGAGATATCGTAAAGTGAGACATCAATGAGTGAGAAATCTAATCCGAATGATTCATAAATTATTAAAAGACGAGATTGAGAGAATTGATTAATTAATTGATTAATTAATAAGTGGAGAAAAAAAAAAAAGATATAAAAAAGCATTCAGTTCGAAGTCTGTATTGAGACCTTTGGGAACAAGGGTCTCCAAATTAAATATCCATCTTGCTTCGATTTGATCCAGGCTTCTTTCCAAATCTCCACCTCTCGAATGTACATTTACTTTTTCAATGGGCAGGAATCTTAGTCCTGTGGGATCTCCTCCATGGAATTCTTGGAAGTGCTTTGAGAGGTTGTGTGTTTGTAGTCCTCTCTTGATGTTACGAATGTGTTCTGCTACTCTAATTTTTAAAGATCTCTTCCTACATATTGTTTGGAGCAGGGACATGTGATGAGGTAGATTACTCCTATTGTATTACAATTCATATTCGTCTGTAAGTTATGTTCCTCCATATTGGTTGTGGATTTAAATTTCGCGGCAAGAGCTGCGCGCGCATTCAGCCGGTCACATAGGAAACCATTATCAATGCTTTCCTATGGACGCTTGCGTGCTCTCACTGTGATTTTTACAGTGAGAAGCACGCAAGCGCCTCTAGCGGCTGTCAATGAGACAGCCGCTAGAGGAATTGGGGGAAAGCTTAACCCATTCATAAACATAGCAGTTTCTCTGAAACTGCTATGTTTATAAAGGAATGGGTTAAGCCTAGCTGGACCTGGCACCCAGACCACTTCATTAAGCTGAAGTGGTCTTGGTGCCTAGAGTGGTCCTTTAACATTAGGTGGTTTATAACATATCCCAACCAATAATGGATTTCCCTTCTTTTGCCCCAAGCAGTTATCTACCCATAAAGCTTCCACATTTTTCTTGTTACATTCCACTTGAATGAGACTTGGCTTTAACTCATGGTTGACATACAAAAATACCCCGCTTCCTTTCCTGTTATTTCTATATTTCCTAAAAAAGTCTAACCTTAAGTTAACTGCCCAGTCATGTGTCTCATCTCGCTACGTTTCCATTATGTCATATTGCTTAGTCTATGCTATTGCCTCTAGTTCTCCCATTTTGTTATTTAGACTCCTTGTATTAGTAATTATATAAGTAATATTTAATAATTATCATTAGTCTCTTGTACTTTATGTGAAGATTTCTTACTATTACATACCTCCTTTGTTCTGATCTTGCCCCTCCCTGGATCCCTACCCTCATTATGCTGAGCTAAAGCCTATCTCCTTTCTGTCATATCGCCATTTTGTAGATTTCTTTGTCGACACAGCTCACACTGGGGAGGATGGGAGACCCAGGTACACGTCCACGCCGCAGATCACGATCTGACCTGTGGGCAACGTGCTCTAAACTGTGTTAACGTCTGGGGCTAGTGGGGCACCACTACGTGGATCCTAAATAGCACTACTGCGCTGAGTACACTATATTGTTTGGTGGGTATAGGTTAAGCATCGTACCTAGTATTAGGGCCTGGAATTCTTTAACTTATCCCTCTCTCAGCCCTCCAGGCTCATACTGAGCAGTTATTTCTGTGGCCTGAGACAAACACGTTTTCTGCATTATAATTTTTTGTTGTCCGTGGTGGTCTATTTCTCTTCTACGACCCCAGCATGATTTTAATTGTGGCATTATGTCCTTGTTGCTGACAGCACGTTTCACTAAAATCATCCCAGATCATGCAATGAATTATGTTTCTTAAAATTGTGGAAGAAAACAAACAAACAAAAAACAACATCTAGGTGTCCTTAACATACATTTTCACAGCAGTATCTCTTTGATACTTGTTTGATTGAGGACATCATCTGCCTATAGCAGAACAATAAAGACTATATATACAGTATGGCTGTCTAGAAATTTGTTCTTTTTAAGAATAACATATTCAGCAGTGCGTTATAGTGGGTTGCAGAATTATGTGTATTTGACTTGTTACATAATGCAACAAACAACAAAAAAAGCAAAGCAGTATTAAACCCATCCAGTAAAAAAAAACAAAAAATCCCCAAACAATAAAATACCCTCTGGCATTAGGAAGAAAAATAAAAGGAAAAACATATATTTCTTACTCATTTTCCAAAAACAACTTTATTGCTTTTACACAGGAGTGCTGTGACTCAAATCAATACACAATAAAACCATTTGTATGCTCCTATGGTTCACACAAGTTAAGTCAATTACTTATTCTAAGCCAGTATGTGAGCAGATGAGTCTCCAATTCCCAGAACAGTATACAATATGGAGGCTTGACAAACGGCTATTTTTTGAAGGATAATGGATATCAGCTAAGTCAGCTGAGATCCCAATGAACCGGTAAAATAAAAATGAACAAACACACAAAAAAATATTATGTTAACCCCGATTGACTCTTAATTTACAGCTATATAATTATAGTTTGAACAATTATAAATAAAACTGCTTAATAAACGTTTTTAAATTTTGTATATTTAGATGACACTTGTTTTCTATTTGTTTTATAAAACAAAAAAAATGCAGTATGAAACAATTAATATAAAAATGTGACAAAGATAATATTTTCGAAAGCGTAATGCTTTTCGTAACACAGTTTTTCCTCCGAGGACAGTGGCCAATACAACGCAGAATGTGCAGTAGCAATAGAAGCAGAGTTTAACAACCATTTTGCTGGAGAATCATTGTAATATATTGATAGTAGTGAATAAGCTAATTGACATATCTACAGCTATTGAGTAATTTAGAATGTACTCAACATGACGAAAATATAGAGCAATTAGAATGAAAAAAACCCTAATTTTTTAGATAAAATACTGATCACAAACACAATTTAAGAGAAAGTATATGACGGCTAATGTCATTTAAAACATTTTACAAAAAAAAAATACCAAACAGATTTTCCAATCACAGAGAGAGCGCGAGCAAGTACTGTGTACCGTATTTTGACAGTATAAGGATCTGTATTCATATTAATAAGGGACCACGACTGTTTTGCAGAAACAAAATAATTTCATGTCAGGATAGAAATGCTTTGCAGAATGCGCTGTTATTCCCAGAAACTTTATTAAAAATTTAAGAGGAACTATAACTATAAAATTCTCCTGATAAACAACTTACTATGCAGACTTGTTAGAAACAGAGTCCTAGATAGTTCTACAACAGCAGAACTTCTTACTCATGGGGCAAAATTTGAATTCCCATCTACTTTGCTGATGCATCAGCAGTCCTCGAGGCTTGGTACAACCTGTGCTGCTAAGCATATGCGCTTTTAAACATAAGAGCAAATGGCTACTGAACCAAAATACATTCTGGTCTTGATAAAGGAGGTGGAGTGCTTAAAGGGCATCAATTAACTTCGAAAAAAAGATAAGACCCTAAAGATTTTCCACGTATGCTGGTCTGCATTTACAGAGGTAACAGATGCATAGAGATGAAAAAGAAATCAATTAAACATGTTTGAACTTAATATCACAATATATGGATGGATGAATATTCTCAATAAAGTTCCCTTCTGGGTTTATATTCTTCAATGTAACCACTAATGATCATCTGACACAGTTTATAAAACAAACATTTATCATAAACACACACAGAGTTATTACACTGTTTCAGAATTCGTAGTAACAACCACAATATAAAGTGACAAATTACTTGAAACTACTGCACCAATATTAAGTGATGTAAAAGCCATAGTGGAGACGAATGGCTCATCAAAGCCCAATCCCCCTAGAGGTTTGCAAGTTGACAGTACATCCACTGGTCACAAATACGTATACAATGAAAGCAGACACTACGTTCTGTATATGCAGCACAGTGGTAAATGGTCTGTAAATTTTGGATAAACATAAATTAAAACAAATGTTTCAGTATATATTTATATATTTTTATATATAATATAGATTAATCTCATTTAAGTTTTACTAGCAAGTTTATTCTGAAAATAGCATTTTTTTTAATAATATACATCCAATATCTGTTCAAATTAACAACAGCTCTCAATTAAGGCTTCCGGTTTTTACAGGGGAGAGGGGGGTTTGGGGTGAAACATCTTATTTTCAGGCTGTCATTTTTGTTAATTGATTTTAGTAAACAAGTTTTTTATAGAAAAAAATATGAACATTGATTTTCACCACATTTCAGAGGAAAGTTCAAGGTCACATGTACTTCTAACATCTTGACGGAAAATCGGTAGCCATCATTTTTTTTTTCTTCCTTTCTTATGAAGTGTAAAAGGCAAGACCCATTCTCTTACGTAGACTGTAATATATACAGGGTTAGATAAAGACTTTCCGAACAATCAATATGGTTCTCAAATGCAAACAATGCTGACATTGCACTGCAGATTTTATTGATTCAGGTATTGCATGTTGATCAATATTTTTCTGCATGAGTTACAGAAATACTTCCTGCAAGAGAAACCTAAAAGTACTGCTATAAAAAGTGCAGTTATCAAGCCTTTGAATTCCAGGAGCCGCGGAACCCACTCTAGATCTGGTGTTTAGCAGCATAGCAGGGAATTTCTCTTACAGTTGGCTCTCACTGGCAATACTGCATTGGAGACTGCTGCAGAGATATTATGTCAGAGCTTGGCTTATAGCAATGAAGAGAGCTGATAAATATGCCAAAATAAAAAAAAGTGTTTTCAAGCAGCCCTCAAACTTTTTCAATGGAGGAAGGGAGGGAGAAATAATTTTGTAGAAAAGTGTCTTAAGCTCACCAAAAATGGCCAGAACCACCCCACTGCCATACCCCATCCTTGCAAGGCATTATACACACCTGGTCAAATGGGGCTTAATAAGAATGATAATAATAAGAAGAAGAAGAAGAAAAAGAAAGTTTGGCTTGCTTTGGCACCCAAGTTTTTAGCTTTGTCCTTCAACTGGCCATTGAATCATAAGAAAATAATCTGCAGTGTTTTCAAGTATTTAAATACGACTTGAATAAGTGAAGCCTTTGGAGACTCCCCTATCCCCACAATAATCTTATTAGCTGCCTTAAACTACTCACTATAAACATGTCTGCATCTGTAAGAGATGTCCCCTTGGCAGTATAGTCGACTTCTATATGAGCGAATGTCCGTTCATGGCTTTGTGACCTTTTACAATTACATTTATGTTCAGTCAATAATGCTCTCGTAACAAATAAAGTACTATTTGCAATTCAAATCAAATGCAATGTAATCGTTTACTGGACGGATGTCCAAAAAGACAGGCAATCCTGTAATATGGCATAAGTGGTATTCATCACAGTATAAATGAGCTGGTTCCGAATATCCTGGCAATTTTATATTAATACCAAGCCCAGCTTTACTACCAAAATACGAAATTTGTCCTTAATACACATTCTCAAAAATGTTAATATTAAATGTTTAGCTGGATCAGTACCATGAATGTGACTAGATACCCTCATGAAAAAAAAAAAACAAAAACAAAAAAAAAAACAGAGTTATTTATAAAGTCTAATTCTAGGGCAAAGTTGTACTTTGCAATCACTATGGCAACCAAC